CTAATTGCCGGTAATAGGTTAACACGTTGCGAATTGCTTTGGTTGAATTAGCGATTAGGTGGAGAAGATGGAATAAGGTTTATAAAATTTGTTATTTTTTTATTTTTTAACTTGTCTGCCTGATTTGTCTGTCTGTAGCAAGAACCGAGCGGACGCCTAAGCAAGGGTTTAATTTTTTTTCTGTGACAATGGTTCAAAATTTGTGCACAGAGTATGATAATAAACTCACTTCCTATCATAGTAGGCAAAAGTGGTTGTTATACTATGTATATGCTCTCTAAACACATCTGTTTCATAATCTTGTAGGTACCTAAGTGTTGAACTGAAAGTCTAAAACTGTAAAAAGGAAAGCCGTAACCCCAGGTCGTAGTAGATCCCTGAGTTATACAGGTCAACTATCTATAAAGCTTAGAAAATCGATATTTTATATGCATAGTCAACCATATCATTTAACTATTTATCCATTGATAAAAGTCAGTTTTATATGTACCTATACCATCATCGGAAGCAATAGTTTATACAACTAGCCGTTGTTTGTGATAGGTAGAAAAGAAGTAGATATGGAACAGAAAGGGATATCCAAAACTACGGGTAAACGACCTGACTGATCAGTTCCTGATAGCAAGCGATCAGCGCTACCCATGAATATTTTCAACACCCAACGATGTAAATAAATTATTATGTTTTCGGCTTACTGACGTAATAATTTGACGAGGATCTCGACTAGTTCCAAGCCATGCTAGAGGCTCATATTCATGATATAGTCTAGTTCCTCGTCAAATTATTACGTGAGTAAGACGAAAACATATTAATTTATTTAGTTTGTCTCACGAAAGTTACAATACAAACACAACGATGTAATCGATTACACAATCAGTTAGAACAACTCCATTTATTTAAAACGCTTTAATGAGAAACAAATTTAAAATTTTAAAATCCTTCCTCATTCACCTGGTAAAAATACAAAAAAACGCACCAAAAGGTAGACGTAAAAACTTGAACACCTCGTAAATTCTGAACGTCCGTACAAATATGAAAAATGTATTCCACTTTGCAACACTTATCGCGTCAGTACTTACGTACTTGAACATTTTTTCCCATATAATTCACACGCAGACATATAATTCATGTTGAGATAACTTTGAACATATCACTCCCCTGTCTGAAGAGTCCTCGGGGAGTATACACTTTAAATTAAGGTAATTTGAGAAACAACTGTTGTGGAAAAGGGATGTTTCGGGACTTGCATTCCCCAAACGATACCGGAATGTCGAAAACAATTCGCGTATATTGGAACGAAGCTTTGAAATGTCGAGAAAAACCTTGTTAAAAAATTGTCCTTCTACTTGTAGTTTTACTTCGTTCTCAGGTAACAAGACTGTGTTGGTAAAACTATTGTGTACTATATGTAAGTAGATAAATACATGAAGAAAACCTTACATGAAGTCATGAATTGTGCTTGTTAATGTCAATAGCTTCCGTTATTAAATGACATGAAGCTTACCTCCTCTACCTACCCCTTTGGGAAACATCAGTCATTGTTATTTTCCTCGAGAAAAAACCAAACTAATCAACTAAAAACTTTCTTACCAAAATTGATTCCTATGTCCATACAAATACGGTTTCCTTTTTTAACATACGGCGTTCGGTTCTCTAATAATAGTTAGGCCTGATCCCTTCCGGCGCAATGACTAACGAAATGGTCCGTCCCTGACATCATTTTTGTGACGTCATCATTTTCTTGGGAGTTAATTTGACGAAAAGCAGTTTCGTTCTAACTACTTCAACTTACGAACTGACGAGTTCAAATAGAACCAGGTTCACGATAAGGCTGGTACCAATGAACCAACCAATCACAGCGTCGAACGCGTATTCGTTTTGATTATTCTAAACGTGAAATAAACTCGTTCTGAGCCCACAGATTAGTCTATCAGATACATCAATTAACTAATTTGAAAGTTAATTATGTTAATCCTTCAAACTTTAGTTCGAGGTTTTAGTACACCCACTTTTTACCCATTTGAGTCAAATTTAGACGTTCCAGGAATCCTTTAGCCGAGATTCCAGAAATTCCGTACTTCTACGAACAATATTGGACTAGAATTCTGTTCAGTAGGAAAATCAGATTTCACGTTCAGATGACAAAACATAACATCGCGTTTGTTATTGCCAGATAGGGTAAATCCGAAAACATATTTCCTGATTTCCAATGAACCACTAGTAATAAATTTCAACAAATTGTAATTATCTGTATTGATTTCTGTCAACTGGAGACATCACAGTTAACAATTTGAGTCCACACTGCTTTGAGAAGTCAGTAAGCATTTAAGGTAAATAATTACAACACCTAACAATAGATTCATACAGCAAAATATATCGACTCCAACTACATAAGACTCACAGGTAGTGAAAAGTAGTCTTAGACATTGTTAGTACCCCTTTTAGGATTAAAAGGTTACTCCTTTTAATATACTAGAGTTAAAATATAATTTATACGCAACCTACAACTCAGAAAGAGGTTGTACAAGATCTTGTACACAGAAGATTGGTATCAAATATTTCAAATGACAGGACAGTAGACTTTGAAAGACTTGTGGGAAATAATTGTCAGGACGGAAGAGTGAAAGCTAATATTTTGTATTTTGGAATATGACGTAATTGAGCTGATGGGTGACATGGTGTTAAGTAATTAACATCGCCTAAATACTCGCTACAACAGAAGAGTTAAAAACTTTTTTTAAGGGTTGACCACCAAGTTCTTCGTCATGCACTTTGAGCCGGAGCCCTTGTAACAACAACGTAACAGTTCTCCACAGCTCCGTACCGAATCAGCCCTATTAGACCCTATCTGTGGTAGTCTGATGGCTCTTTGAGGCGCGCGCAGAACGCGACACAAGACCGTACCGGCCATTTGATAAGAAGTCCGTTATTAACTCTTTCCTTTTGAATATGAAAAGTTTAAACTCTATCCTTAATATGATATGTTATGGAAGTCAGACTTTATTAGTTGCTTTCCATACCTAAGCCATTAATAAGCCAATAACAGCTTGTTTGTACTATCAAGATCAATTCATGGACAAACAAGCCATTCACGTTGAAATGCAGTTAGACTGCGTTATTAATGTACACAGTAATTTATATACTATGTATATAGACTAAGCCAACAGTCATCCAGATCAAATACCTAACAAACTTGAAAATGTACATCATTAATTTGAGGTGATGCAGAGCTGTACCTGTAGAGAATGTCCAAGACAGTCTATCATATTTTATTTTTTAAGTGTCACTGAGAAATAGTCTAGGACAATACGTAGTTATTAAAGGCTTAAAAGTGTACAGGACGATAAGTATATTATTTGTGATTGTGTTTTCTTAAAATACATACCATAGTAGTATTTGGATTTATTGTATCTATTGTATCTGTAATACGAATATAGGTAAAGAGCTATATTAGAATCCAAAGGGATTCAGATAATATCTAATTACTAATAAAATAATCATCTACGAATGATCATAATCATTTATGCCATTAGTAAGAGGTCAATGACTTTACACATACCTACTGTTTATGAACATATCCAAAAATTCCAGAATGAAGCTATATTTTCTCTGTTTCCTATTTTTGTCAGTGAGAATTAGATTTTTATACATATTAAAAGGTTTTACTGAAAACTCATAGCCTTAAAATTTTTCAATATTCGGGCTAGGTATCGGATATTTTATTTTTTATCTCTAAATACTAAATATCTATTACAGACCGTACGTACGTACCTACAAGATTTAAATAATAAAATTTTACATAGAAATCTTACATCTGTAAGTAATAAAACGCAATGTTCGTACTAAAATCAGTTTAAGGGGGCAAAATCATCGAATTACTGCTCCCGCCTGGGTGAGGCGGGAAGGAGTGTCACACTCTTACTGACTAAAAATCACCCCGTTCCTTCTCCTGCACGTCGAGCCGGAGCCCCGGTTACCTGTTAGGTTCTCCGCGACTAATGATTAACTTTACAAAGATATTATACTTTTCCCGTGCTTTTGATTAATATATATGTCATGTTGCTTAGACTATAAAACTGGCCCTATTGTATCACTGCATAGTATAAAACAAAGTCGATATCTGCCGTCCGTCTGTCCCTATGTAGATATGCTTAGATCTTTAAAACTACGCAACGGATTTTGATCCCGTTTGTATTAATAGATAGAGTGATTCTAAAGGAAGGTTTATATGTATTATACATGCATATTTCACCTATGCGAATCCGGGCCGGGTCGCTAGTTCAATATAAAATGGTTAATTGCTATTTTATTATATCTGCCTACCTAATAGGAGACAGGCGTGAGGCTATAGAGGTTTTATATGTCATAACTACCATTATAATCCACTATCCTTTTTAAACTCTATAATTACAATACAAATTTTACCTTTATCCTTTGATTTTATTAACATAAAAATTTCAATAAATCACCGCTATTGTACAGGGTAGGTCCACTTGTGTATAACAGTAGTAAGGAAATTAATTTCCTTTATAAACCACTAAAATATTATTTTCATAATACGCAAGTGCTATACTATATTATTTCTTAAGTTTATTTCACTGTACAATGTATAGTGATATACATATCTACCGTCTTGTAATAGGTAGGTAGATGACAATCCCTACAAGGCAAGTAAAATAAAGGTTTGTGTCATCGTAATTAAGATAACAACAGGTTTTTATAACCGTCAAATACTATATGAAAGAAAAAAAAATTGAGACAAAAGCAACGAAGTTTAGAAATGGCTATAAAATTACGTCGTAATTAAAAAAACACAAAGGTTCGCCTAGAATAAATTAAAGTTCCACTTTTAATATCAAATTATATTAATATTCAAGTCAAGAACACATTACAACCTCTTAAAGGTGGTGTTCGGTGTATAAATCATAAGAATACACCAGTAATATTTAAAAAATATGTTATTAACTAGTAATATATAATAGAAATCATCCTTTTCTTACCAAGAAAAACTTTTTAACTGATCCAGATAAAAATCACTGCACAAATCCGCCAATGTAACTAAAAGACGCGGAAAAAAATTAAACAAGTATTTCAATTAAAAGTTTAAACAGTCAAACACGTCACAGATAACACAATAAATAATTTTCCAACATATAAAAAAAAAGTTTTTATTGACAGTTACACGCACTAATAAAGTCTATATTCTTTATGGTTATATTCGCGAGTTGTTCGAGTTTCGAATTTTGTGTTGGGACATGGCGCAGGCCCGTTTGGAAAGGGCACGAGCGTCGAGCAGACTGGCGGCCGCGGCCGGCGCGCTCACCGCGCATGTGCACACAACCTCTTATAATTTGATATCTCACATCACCGCCCCTGTGACATTCTGTGGTAAAACCTACTCGTAAATTATTCAATTTTATTTACTTATTCGTACGCTTAGGTAGAATATTACGACGTGGGTCGTGAGATTTAAAATTGACGTGCGATTCGCGTGTTAGAATGTTGGCATATTTCGTAAGTACGGTTCGGCAAACTTCCCATCCTGTCTATAAGTAATAATTTGTCAAACACGAAGCGCTTCCGACAAACGTATTCAAACACGATGAGTTCGCGGAAATAAAGTTATACAAACTTATGAAGAACTATTCTATCGAGCTCTTTACTGAAGCACCTTCTCACGTTTGTTTTAAATCTACTTTAGGTATATTTTGTGACCTCCTTTCATCGATTCAACGGTTGAATTGAATTCAAAATCACTCCTCTTGTTATCTTTTAATATGTTGAATTTGATTGAACATTTTATTTACTGTTATGGAATTCAACAGCTATATCATAGTTTAAGTGTGATATGAGTGAGAATAAGGTTCATTTCGAATAGAAATAGTTGATTTAGGTAACTCAAATAATATGTAAAAATCTGAATAAAAAATAATTTCGAGTACGGTCCCAAAATGGTATTTGGAATATTAATTGGAATCTTTTTTCATAAAATTTAGTATGTAATATGAAACTGTTTATATTGTACATCAATCATCAATCAGCGTAGTAAAAAAACAAAATGATTGGTGTCCATCTTTATTTTAATAAATGCCATCTTTATTTAAAAAAAATAAAAGAAAAAAAACATTTCAAGTTTTATTAAAATCAACAGATTTTTACACAGATTGTGTGTGATGTATTTGGATTCTTAGCAAATAATTACTATAGAAGAACCCCTGTTAAATAACTGGTAACATAATACGACGTAATAGAATAAAACGTACCACGGCATATCAATAAAAACATTAAACTTCGTAATCGAAAAGTATTGGAGTAAGTGCGAGCGTAAAGAGATTGTCGCGTGGTAAGCCGACTACAAATAAAGAGGTTGAACAAGCCAGTCGGTTTTGGCAATTCGCCCGCTCCCCTAGTTATTCCAATTCGTACCGGACGATTCCATCCTTTCTATATAAAACTAGAACATCACTACACAACAGTTTTCATTCTCAAAATTCTGTAGGTACCTAAACTTTGACAATAGGACCTCTACCCACGATACAAGTCTAACTTATACCGATTTTAATACTTGTGTTGCTCACAATATACCTACATTTTACTGTTATAGCAATCAATCTGGTCACACGAAATTAAATAGTACCTACTTATGTACTACTTGGTATTTAATACGTCAAATGGCATGAGAGTCACCAGCAGCTGTAGCCAAATCCCATTTAGCGCTTGTCTACTTGTAGAGTAGAAAACCAAATTGTATGGAATTGACGTAAATTTTGACACTTGCCAGTATCATCTCCATACATTTAGTTTTCTACTCTCTCTATAGACAAGCGCTAAAGTGGTGTTTGGCTAAAGGCACAGTTATCAATGCTAGCGAAAGATGTGCCTTCAAAATATTTCTGTCGCCAGTTAAAGTATAGAGAATGTTTACTATTTTGGAAGTGTTTTACTACTACAGCAACAATCTTACTAATATCATAAAAATGACAAATTTTGTGAGGTTATGTGTATGTTTCTTACCCTACCACATTAAAGCGACTAGACGGATCGACATGAAATTTGAAACAGGGATACATTATGGTCTGGAATAATATATAGGCTACTTTTTATCCCATGGGAAGGCAAACGTTAGTCATCAATAACTATAATAATAGAATGGAATGCCCATTCACTACAAATATTACCACCAAATCCTTATGTCAAGAGACCGACTCATTAAATATAGCATCAAAATAATCGAAAGAAATACTAATAAAGTAAACAATACTATAAAATTCGTATTCAGAGCTCAGAAAATACAATTAACACGAAAAAGGACTATAATGGTTTATGCAAAAGAGGTCGGTAGTCAATTCATTTCAGTCTAGCCTACAACTAGGTCATTTGATAATCGGCAGTTCGAAGTAATCAGCCTGAGAGAAGGGACCGTTACCAAGGTACGAATTTCAATATGAATGGCTTTATTTGTGGTCCGAAAGCATTATCAAAGAGACTAGTAGGCAATTATCATTCTAGAACATAGGACTTGATTTGATTTAAGTACGTTTACCGAGTGTAGCTACCCATATTAATATAAATGCGAGAGTAATTCTGTTTGTTTCGCCTTTACTGTCAAATGTCAGCGCCGATTGTAATGAGATTTGATGTAAGAGGCGATTCGGTTAGGGAACAACGAAAAGGGTATGTTTTTCAAATCAGTGTCTGTCTCGAGTGTGAGACAGATATGCTATTTGGTTTCAAAGCCACACTTAACTAAATCTTTTTATGACATAAATATATTTTATTTATAATCGTTGCCCCTCACTAGGATTTTCTTTGTATAGTGGGTGCCTCTACAAACATACAAGTTCCAATTACAACAACAATTATTATTGATTTTTTTTTTCTTAAAAAAACGTTGCCCCACACTAGGATTTTCTCCTGTGTCGTGGGTGCGTTTACAAACATACAAGTTCACATACACAATGACACCCAGACCCGGAACAACAATTTGTGGATCACACAAAGTATTGTCCCGTGCGGGAATCGAACCCGCGACACGTTGCACGGCAGCCGGTTGCCCAGCCACCGCACCAACCGTGCAGTCAAATTCATAGTCTTCTTTCTCCAAAAGGGTAAGTAATAGATATGATTATACTTATAACACCTTTTCTTGACTCTTACGTGTCACCTACGGTATCAAATTTATTTAGTTTAATAATAAAGCTGTCAACACTGAACGTTACCTAACTGGATTGAGGAGGAGCTCAGCTATTGCCTGGTAGTCTACTCCTATTTCATACGACTATATAACTGTTGAGCTTTTTTTATGGGATTAACCGGTAAACAAGCAAATAGATCACCTGATGGTAAGGAATCGACACCGCCCATGGACACCTGGAACACCAGAGGGTTAAAAGTGCGTTACCAGCCTTATGGAAATTAGGGGTTTGAGAATTGTTGGATATTCAAGAATTGGGGAGTTTGGGGAAGGGGAGGGAGTGGTTTTGCCTTGTGCTGTAGTTTTGCCTTAATAACTATAATCTTGGTTAAATCTAGTTTCCAAATGTTCTGACAGAACTTACTGTTGTTTTTGATATTTGATGGACACTGGACATGAATGATTCAACGTGTTTTTAAAAGACATAAGATGTAAAGGCTTGGTGTCCATTCATAGACTGACCCCGCTGTAGATTGCTCTTATGTAACGCTTAGATAGTATTGACAACTAAATGAAAGTCTTCTGACATTGTGGGACTCATCTTTAAGTGTGGGAAAACCATGCTTCAGCAGAAATGGGCCGGCACGACCCATGTTATACTACGACCTAACAAAAAACTGACGTGAAACAACGCTTGCGTTGTGTTTCGTCGTGTGAGTAAGGTTACCGGAGGCCCAATTATCTTCCTCTCTAATTTTGCCAGTCCCCGAATCCCCAAAAAGCCGGTAAAGTATTTGTAAAACCTCTGGTGTTTCGGGTGTCCATGGGCGACGCCGATTGCTTACCATCAGGCGATCCGTCTGCTCGTTTACAGGCTTATCACATAATTGTTATTGCTTAGAATCATGAAGTAAACCAAGTTAAAAATACTTAGAGACGAACTGCTAATTAACAGTTGCTACCCTTAAACGAAAGTATAAATAATAATCGAAAAAACAGAACATCGAATAATACTTAAGAAAAATTGCTCAGCAGACCGCGACCTTTGACCACTAAATCATATAATTATATCGTCAAAAAACTTGAAGATTGATGACATAGTAATACAGAAACAGTAATTCCAACAAAATAGTTGTTAATAAAATCATCCATCATTATTATTTTCATATATTTTTACGTCACTTAGTTCTAAAGGTTTCACCTTTAGCCGATGACATGCAAGGCCGTATATAAATATCTGGCTTAATATACCCGTGTGGGGCAACTTTGCTTGTGTTAAATCATGTCACGAGAATTTAGATGCTCCATTTATCTCTAGTTGTCTCCTTGTTGCTCTATAGTTCCTGGAGAAGAATTGGCCCTCTGGGACTGCAAGAGGATGGAGAGTTAGATGGTGTTGTGTTGTAGCTAGTGTGAGTGATACAATAGCGTCGGGTATTTACAAACAATACTTTAAACAATATTTTCAATATTACTAGTTACTTTTAAACCTTTTCTTGACTTCCCCGAACATTTCAAGACCAAAATTAGCTAAATCGGTTTAGTCGTTCTCGAGTTTTAGCGTGATTAACGAACGGAAGTTCATTCTTATTTACATAGATGCCTATAAATAATAATTTGGTTGCATCAGTAAGTTTAAACCACGGACAATAATAACAATCTTATTACTCTGCTCAGAAATCAATGTAATACAATGCATTCATATCATTCACCGTCTCAATTTATTCAATTTGTTTTTTTCAACGTTTACTAAACGATGACCCACTACGTAAACATCAACTAAATAGCTAAATAACAGTATAAACAATTTGTTTATGACACACAAACTACATGATAATATGTTGACTTACTATGTTCTCACAGTGAAACATATCGTGTATTCATGTTCCGAATATCAAAGGATTTAAACTCATCCAAAATATATTCATCAAGGACCCACCCTTACTTTGTGTGTTAAAATAAATTGGTTTCCGGAATTTGTGATGACTATTAATACGTTCATTGGTGAGTAAGCACTTAATCAAATTAAAATCGATAAATCGGTTTCTACGAAATTATTACATCAATTTCTTTTATATTTATAAAAGGTTTAACGGGCACGTTTAGTTCGTGGTCACACGTATAACTGCCGAGCAAACAATTTGAAGTTTGATTTCCATATCCATAGAAATAGAATTATAGGTTTTTCAATTATGCAAATAGAATTATAGGTTAACACCCACACGCACAAAGCGCTTCGCGTCATGCTTCCTTGTGCGTACTGCTAAGGAGTGGAATTCCCTGCCAAAGTCTGTGTTTCCTGAATGGTATAACCTGGGTGTCTTCAACACCCGTGTGAATAGGTAGCTTATGGGTCGCTTATCACCAGGCGAGATAGTGGTCAAACTTCTGCTCACTAAATATATAAAAAAATTTAGTACTTCTCCATTCAGCCTCGAAATCCAAAAAGTGCATTTAGGAATTGGCAATAGGCATATTTGTAAATGTTTGTACTCTAAGTACGAAATCAATATCAAATAAGTCACTTTAATCTATTCCTTGTATAATAAAGAAGCAAGCAGATTAACAATGGATTCTAGAACATTGTTGTTATTGCAAGGAAAGGGTGGAAGGATTCCGTTCTCCATCTATTTGAGATAATCCCTTACCCAGCTTTTACAACACGAAGTAAAAAAGTGCAAAAGTGGTTTTTCCATTCGTTGCATAGTGCATAATGTTTTTTAAGCAAAAAAATCTTTACCTATTTGATTTTCATGCTTGGTTAGTATATTCTTAAATATTTAATTATAAGAAAAAAACATTTAACATTTTTATCTTTAAATTACTTTCAAAGTACAAACAATATAATTACATTTTTTATAAATAACTATTTAAAAATATATTAACCAAGTATGAAAAATGTGTAAAGAAAAAAACGATTGAATATTTTATTTTGACTACAGTGCAACATCAATACCCACGATCACCAATTTTTCTGTGATCCACAAATTATGAACTCACATAAAGTAACCAACGGCACAGGAGAAAACGAGAGTGTAGATTTGTTTTCCAAAAAACGGACGAAGCATTGTACTATAATATTAAAAAGGAACATAAAACGATTATCCCTCTTATATATTATAATAGGCCTCAAAATTAAAAAAAAAACTACGATAAATCAAATTAAATACATCTAATTACCTACATAATTAGCTATCGTTTACAAATAATTTTAGAAATTGACAAATTGACATAATTATCCCTCAAAATTATAAGTGAAAATTAAAGTGTTAGAGATCCCTAACGTTGATGGTAAACATATAAATTAATAAACACAATATAATATAGGGACATTGTAATAATAATCTGGTATCAACACTGGTTTATTCAAATCTCAAGAGGGCGTAATGTTAAACTGTTATAGTGTTAATTAGTCAATGATACCTTTATACAGATAATATAATATTTCGTTTCAATTTGGTATGTGTTTCTGCTTTCTGCACTTAACTATTAAAAACTTTATAACAAGGGTAGCCTCGTTGGCCGAGTGTTCGTAAGTGCACCTGCCGGGCAAGGGGTCTCGGGTTTGATTCCCGGGTCGCGAAACGTGATACTAGGTTTAAAAAAAATTTAATAGTAGCACGAAGTTTGGAAATGGCAATAGGCTCACCCCCTAAAAACCCCCTTTGTGAAAAGTGAGTGCTGCATTGTACCGTGGCATTAAGTGTCATAATGTGCACCTCTGTTTACCACTTCGGTGATAAAAGGCGTGATGTTATGTAACAAAGATAGACAAGAACACTAGCATCAGAATACTTTTGTCACCAACCTCTTTTCATTGGTGTCGTAAAAATTGATTGACTGTGATTTTCCACCTGCAAGCCAGATGTGGAACATTTTTAGATGGAGTAGCCCATAGTCCAACAGTTGATGGATGTATAGTGTTATTTTTCGCCACAGTAAAAGTGTTATAAAACTATTTCACTCGTGAACGTTCATATTTTCTCCGCATAAATTAACAAAAGCGTAACCAAAGACAAAGGCTAATAGAATACAACTAAAATATATCCCAGTCAATACCTAAAGAGCTTATCTAGACACGAACAAAGCTACCGGTTGTCTATCCACTACAAATGTGAATAGCTTCCCGCATCGGCAAAAATAGGTCGTCAGTATCGGGATAAAAATCGAGTACTGTGTAGCCCCACATTTAATGCATACCGATCTTAGATAATGGCTAGGTCCGTATGTAGTTGAGAAATCGGTTCTTTGATGTTTTTACTAAAAATCACGGGTTATTCACGTGAATATACTGAGAAAAGCTCTACTAGTTTCGGGGCACAGAGGGGCTCTTCCTCGTGAGCTGCGTGCGCGGTCGCTGCGATGTCGCGCAGCCTACTCGCTACATTCACGTGAGTAATCCGCGATTTTTAGTTAACTTAGTATGTCTCAGTTATTATTTAACATTTTTATCATTACTAAATCGATACCATGAAAATACTCGGTACAAGGAATGACTGACCCTGTCCTTTAAATGGTGATCTATCTACATTTCTCAAGCCGTTTGCCGAATGTGGGGTTTATGACAATCTCCCTCTAAAAAGGAAGGCCAGTGTTCATCAGGGGACGTATGTAGCTGACGGTGTTGTTCCACTGCCCTGATTGAATGCCTTTTGCAACTTACAACCGAACACTAATAAGACTCAATTTTAAATTGCACTTACATATTGTGCCAGCTCCGTTATTTTACAAAGAATTTGTCGTGACATAGTGAGAACTACACTTAAGCGCGAACTTAAATTGAGTAGTGTTCAGTGTTCGGGTGTATGACTATCCTAATATGGAATCTGGAATTATGCCCAATGTTCATCTTACTTCTTACTAATATAATAAATGCTTGACTGCACGGTTGGCGCGATGGCTGGTCCTCTGGCTACCGCGCATCGTGTCGCGGGTTTTATTTCCACAAGGAATAACTCTTTGTGTGATCTACAATAATTGTTGTTCCCGGTCTGGGTGTCATGTGTGTGTGAACTTGTATGTTTGTAAATGCACCCACGACACAGGAGAAAATCCTAGTATAGGGCAACGTTGAAAAAAAAACAAAAGAATGCGAAAGTTTATATATCTGTGTGTTTGTTCAATCACGTCAGAACGGCTAAAGGGATCGGGATGAAATTTTTCAAAGAGGCAAATTATTGTCTGGAATAAAACATAGACTTTTCCAATGGAACGCGGGCAAAGCCGCTGGCAGAAGCTAGTTCAGTATATATAGAGTAGTAAGTTAAGTGGCGAAAAATAAAGAATAACAAGGATGATATAAGTTAAAGCATGTTCCTCATATCTTTCCTTCAGCGTATTTCGCCAGTAAACAGATAAGGAAATTAGTTTTTCTTTTATATGAGTGGTCTTATTGATGAGATATTGTTTATACATATGTATATGATATACTATTACATTTCTGCCCATTATTTACAATTGTTGACAAAAAATTCTACATAATTACAATTATACGTAAACATCATGAAACATCACTTTTCAGTTAAGTTCAGTAAACAAACATGTGTACTTCACAGTATTTATTTAATAAAACTTTTCACAATAATTCATATAATCAATGGTTCTTATCACTATTAAGCCTAATTTAAAATTAATTATTACCATTAGCTCGATTCAGCAACTTTCTTTCCATGTACGGAACATTTAAATGAATAGAAACTTCGCATGTGCCCACGGACCGTTATTAAAAATGACAGTTTAATACGAACGTCATTACAGTTTCGACTCTCTCAAAATGAAGTCTGCAGCAATCGATTTGTCCCGACACATTTCGTTACAAATTGGAGCTCTCAAACTGTTCGAAATATGGTTTTACATACCGCACAACATGAAGGATGTCCGATTTTGGGTCTGTATTTGGACGAGAATAGTTTTGGGCATCGCCGTGTTTGTTATACCGACGGGCAGCCAACTTATTTATGCAGTGCGCCTGATAATGTCAGGGAACGCTGAAATACAGGAGGTGGCCGGAATGTGAGTACTGACTTTGTTTAATATGATTCTCCGTGTCCTCGGGTATAATTTGATTTTGCCATTATCTTGCATGATAAGCAGGATACGTACTTAGAAGCGTACGTAAAATATGATTAAAATCTTAATCGAGTTTGTAGCGTGTGTATGCTTGATAATGTTTTTCTTTCTTGAAAATATAATATAACTTTCATTTCTGGTGAGTTAATCTGTTTACTTATTTAGTCTTTTATGTACACAATCATATGGCACATAAGGCGAATGTAATGTCATATTGCATTTTCCACCAGTCAACCTTAGGGTTTAAATAGAAAATCTGCAGAAAAATAAGGAACGGAGTTTTTCAAAGTATCTTTTACATATTATTTTTATCATTACATTACATTTAGAAACATCTGTTCAAGTGAAGATTTTAATACGGCTTATAAATTATGGAAGGGACGACTAATCTACTCCATGGGCCGCAGTACATCGAGGAGTATATTTTTTCAGATGCTAACCTTCTTTGGGCCCCATAAAATTCCCGTGGAAGGGACGATGAGGGTAAAATACGCCAGTGGTATGACGTACATACTTATGAACATTTATTACTAAGGCTCGCGAGAAGCCTACTTACTTACATGTTACGGGATTCCGATGCCGTAAAAAGGTTACTTAGATACGTCATAGTTGTTTTACCAACAGCGACAATCGATTAGTTTGCGCAATATGTTATTGATGTTACCTATCTCTCAAAATATGCAATGGTAATGACAAATCTGTTGGTCATAAACCCCAACTCTATGAATAAAAACTAGCGTGACTGCCTCTAACCTAAACTTAACTATATTATGTTAATACAAAAAAAATCCAAAGAACTTTTATGGTAATTTTGGACAATCTATTTAGAGATCATTTAACAATTTGTAATGGTTATAATATTTTGATTGAAACAGTTTTGATTACGAAAACGGGGACAAAAGAATTGCTTTGAAAATTGTAAAGAACCCTTCCGTGCTCATAAATTACATTATAACGACACAATAAATCTGCCGGGGTACGGGAATCGCGTGTAACATACATGACAAACCTAAATGAAACTGTTTTTTTTAACATTCATTTCATTTGTTAAGGTCAAATCTTATCAGTGGCCTACTTACATAATATCAGTGAGTTAATGCCCTTGCGGCTGACGACAAGACAATAGCTTTGCCAGAAATGATTTTCGAAGAGAGCGCAAAATTGTTGGTATGTCGCGTGACATGTTCGTGTACATGTGAGGGTGTAATGTTATCTAGCAATCCTTTGAAGATACACTGCTGCAATCTGTTTCAAAGTTACAGATAAGACTGTTTTATTCGTCCTATTTAAATGTTAATTGACACCGCTTTCACACTTCGAACAGTTCGTAAAGTTCTACTTAACTAGTTTTAACATAGGTACAAAAAGTTAAATGACTTACTGGGAAACATTTTACCTTTTATAATATAAATTGTGTAGTTCAAAGAAGGTTTATCTCGGTATTTAACAATTAGTTCAGGCACTATTTCCAGCTCAACACTAGTCCAATAACGGGCTAAAACTGACTAATCAAATATTAAACATTGCAGCATTAACTTGGTATTGACCGAACTGCTGGTCTCCCTGAGGCTCTTAGATTTGAGTTTGCGTCGGCATCTGCTTTCACAACTCGCTGAACAGCTGAAGAGCGAAGAATTCCAGTTCCATTCGCCAGCGCAGAAGAGAATTTTAGAAAAAGCTGTGGAATCTTCTAGAAGATTGTTTTGGATATTGCTCTGTAGCTGTAGTTCTGATGTGCTTGGTTAGTACTTATGTAATAAGACCCTATACTAACTGCGAGGACCACCCTGAGGACACGGTGGAACACACAGTGGGAGAATGCCCTGCGTGGGCTGAGCACCGCCGTGCCCTCAGGGAAGTGATCGGCGATGGCGACCTCTCGCGTCCGGGCCTAGTGCAAGCCATGATGCGGAGCGAGGGGGACTGGGATGCCGTCTCCTCCTTTTGCGAAGCAGTCATGCTAGCTAAGGTCCTCCTTAGCCACCAGGAGGTGGGACACGTGAGGCAGCGAAGCGCTGCCTCCTCGCAACCCAGTCATCGCGAAGGACACACCAGGCGTCGGGGATCGCGGGACGATCTCCGGCCAACGTAAGCGCGAGACTGCGGACGGCGAGCATGGGTGGCTCCCCGTCCGACCAGAAACAGACCCGAGCGTACGGCGCGTAGCGTTCCGCGCGCGCCTCAAAGAGCCATCAGACCACCACAGATGGGGCCCAATAGGGTTGTTGCCAATTCGGAGTCGCGAAGAACCTAACGGGTAACCGGGGCTCCAGCTCGACGTGCAGGAGAAGGAACGGGGTGGTTTTTAGTCAGTAAGAGTCTGACACTCCCTTCCGCCTCACCCAGGCGGGAGCAGTTATTCGATGATTTTCCCCCCTTAAATAAAAAAAAGACCCTATACTAAAATGAGATTTTTAGAAGTCAATTTGTAATAAGATAAGAGAAATGTAGAGTAACACAACAAAAAAAATATGAATGTTATATTCGACAGTAGTAGTTTTGAGGAATATCTGTTACCAACATAGATATGACTTTATCAAGTACCAATTCCAAACTAAATGTTTCTTGTTGTCTCTAAATAATTACACTTCTATTTCACGACTGTTTAACCTTGCAAGCGGCGGTTCGTCTGCCTGTATAATTAATTATTTTCTTATGTATACTCGTCGATCTAATTGGCATCTGTATTATTCCAGTACACGTCGTGGTGGTGCCGGCTTTGCATAATTTCCAAACTCTACCTCTGAAGATGGATCTTGTGTACTTAGACGTTGATAAAGAATCGTATTTCAATTATTTATGCGCTTATCAGGTACAGATTGTGAGCTTTGTTATTAGAAGTAATTTGCGAGTTCAATAAGTTGTTGATTAGCCTTTCATGTTTAAAATTATGTAGACAGAAATGATTTGACGTAACTAAATCAATTGAACTGGTCAAATAACGGTTTAAGTGTGGGAGAGCCATGCTTCGGCACGAATGGGCCGGCTCGACCGGAGTGACCACGGCCTCACAGAAAACCGACGTGAAGCAACGCTTGCGTTGTGTTTCGTCGTGTGAGTGAGGTTACCGGAGGCCCAATTACCTTCCCCTTCCCCAATCTCCCCAATCCCTGAATCCCCAACGATCCTCAAACTCCTAATCCCCAAAAAGCCGGTGACGCACTTGTAACGCCTCTGGTGTTCCGGGTGCCCATGGGCGACGCCGATTGCTTACCATCAGGTGATCCGTCTGCTCGTTTACCGGCTTATGCCATAAAAAAAAATTGACTGATTGTTCCATAAAGAATTCAATACATTACATAAAATGTCTACCACTTATAATCAAGCATTACTATTGTTAATTTCAGATATTGTACAAACCTATGATGCTGGCAACATTCACAGCGCTCCAAACATTACCATGGGCCACCATGACTTGCGCAAGTAAATTAATTTTGCATATATTTAAGCTTTTGTAATGCATAAAATCTGAATAATACCATAAATCTCGTCAAGCACAGAGTCATCTGGGATAAACACATCGCTTAGGGGAGATTTGGACAACAGGGGTCCATATTTTCAGAAAAAACAATAAAGAACAAAACATTGTTCTACGTACGTAGGAGGATAAACGGGAATTAGGCAAAAAATTATTGAGTATCACTACATGTCGACAAAGTGAAATTCCCAACCGCGCCGCGGGCCACAGAAAAAAATATTCCTACGAAAAATAAGACAAGAGAGTTTTGGTTCCGTTTTGAATATTAACATCACATGAACTACGTTCAAAGGGCGTTGATTCTGAATAAAAAAAAAACTTTTCATGTTTAAGATTTTTTATTAACCGACTTCAAAAAAGGGAGGTTCTCAGTTTGATTTGTATTATGTATGTAGGTATGCGTGTTTACGACTACCTCACGATTGTCTGAACCGATATTGATGTGGTTTTCAGAAAACTTTTCGCATAAGGTTTTAGTATAATATGAATTAATCGACTTCAAAAAAAAGGGGATTGAAGTTGGTTTTTTAAACGTATATTATGTTATCATTTATTTACTTTACAGTCAGCCAATTGGACGTTTTAATTTATAACTTAGAGAACATAAGAGACCTTGTAAAAACTTCTGTGGCTGAAAAGCAGTGCACTGAAAATGAAGCATTCAGAGACATTTTCAAAGACTGCGTTCTCCACCACTGTTCCATAATAAGGTAAGCGAATATTTTCGTTACTAACTCACTTTGATAATTCATTTTTTGCCACAAATTACTTCCTCGTATATTATGGTAATGAGTGTGATTTATTTAAATATAATTCAGTCCGTGTTGTTTTTTTTTTTTCAGATTTGTGAACACAATACAAAATGTGTTCGGCGGACAGTTATCGGCAACATTGTTTTTGAGTACTGGTATTTTGGGAACAACTGCCGTACAAATATTTTCGGTATGGTTTTATCAAAGTGAAGTACTTATAATTTTAAGATTAAAATAGTACTTGTAAAAGTCCAAGATGACCTTAGATTTAACAAAGGTTTTTATTATAAAGTTCTGCTACGAATACGTACAAAATAATCTTTAATCTATATATATAAAATTAATCCCTTTTTCCCATAGTCTCACCATCACGTGTGAATGGCTGGACCGATTTTACTAATTCTGTTTTTATTGCATTTGTTATTATTAGGAAATGGTACAAAAAATCCTTAAAATCCTAAGGGAAATCCTGAAAGTCGCGGGCAGTAGCTATAGTTATGTTATAATTACTTTTACTACATGGAAATTGACAAACGGTAGCTAATTTTTAACCGACTTCAAAAAAGGAGGTTCTCAATATGACATGTATGTACTACACACGGCCACACATCAATCTATACAAAACCAGTTTACCCTGGTGTCGCGTCGCATCATCTTTCCGCACATTTAACGTTCAGTTTATACTGGTTATGTAAAGCTCGATGTCTAGCCGTGTGTACCAATTATATCGCAATTGTCTGAACCAATTTTGATGCGGTTTTCATAAAAGTGTATGGTACACTTAGGAAAAGGTTTTAGTAAATTATTTAGCAGACAAACAAAAGAAACGAAGGGTTTGAAATCTGTTTTTAACTTAATATATAAAAGAATTAATTAACATTTCAGATTGAATCTCCATTGAAGAACTTAACGGAAGTTATATGGGTTCTGGCTTACCTGTCAATTTTCATATGTAACCTATTCATTGATTGTTACTTTGGAAACACTATCACTGTAAAGGTAAGTATTTAATTGAACTTTAAGAGTCACTACAAAATGTGATGTCGGTCAATTGTGGGTACTTTGATAACATTAATTATTGTATGTGTGCGGCAGCCAGTCTGCGAATATACGCCTTGTAGCTAAGTCGTTGTTTGATTACGATTCCGATATTTCTCACAAAAAATGAAATACCAAAAGATAAAAAAGGGGTATCGTAGGGTCTACAAACACAATTGTGCAAACTAGATCATATCATTTTGATAATCCCCTGGTGAAAAGATTACATTGTATGATGACTCAGTGACAGTTACATTTAAAATTAAAAAGAGAGATATTGCGTTAGATCAATGAACCAGTAGCATAAAACACAGAAGCAAAACTATGGAATGATCTGCCGACGGAGGTATTTCCAAACCGATACGACCTTCAAACCTTCAAGAAAAGAGCGTATTCCTTTTTAAAAGACCAGCAACGCACCTGCGACTATCCGGTGTTTGCCGATGTCCATGGGCGGTGCTGATAGGTTACCATCAGGCGATCGGTCTGCTCCTTTATCTCCTATTCAAAATAAAAGTACTAAAAACCTAAAATATTTAAAAAGAGGTCTTAGTAATTTGTAAACTATAATCCCAGGTACCGGCCCAACTTCAATGCTTATAACAAGTTTTTAGGTCAGTTGGATTCTATTTTTGGACCAACACGTACACAACTAATACCAACTCTATAACTACAGCAGTTAGAAATTTTATTCAAGTAAAAGGTTTAATTTAAAATTAAACCTCGATAGTTGTTTTCAACTCGTAGAAATTAAATTAGAAAACGAAATTGGTTTATATTTTCTGTTTAACGTTCAATGTGGTATAATATTTAATTCGTTGGTCGTGTAATGAATACAATTGCAGCGCAAGTATAGGAGTTCATTGTCTATTTTTTTTGTTATATCATACGCAGGTAAACGAGCAGACGGATCCCCTGGTGGTAAGCAATCGGCGTCGCCCATGGACACCTGGAACACCTTGTATGACGTTTAATAATAATAATAAAAATCTTTATATTCTCAAAAATACTCTATGGATACAAATTATTTAATATGTTACAATTAAGAGACTGGTGTCTATTAAAGGTTACAGATCACCGAGCCCAAGTGACCTCCGGAGACATTGAACAATATAAAGTATTTGCTTAACTAAAGAAAATGGACAACAGTAACGTTTAACAGTGGGCAGTCGGTAGTTAGTAAATTTCAAATCAGTTTACATAGTGACCTGTTTATTTTTACTAAAACCTATCCCCTCTTGTTTCCATGTCGTGGTGGCCCGTAAGTTTAAGACGCTTGCTTGCGAATTCGAAACCTACAGATTCAAAACCTACCTACGAACGACAGTACCAATGTAACTTCTTCCAAGTTATATGTACTTTCTAAGATTATCTAAACACCACTGACAAACGGTGAAGGAAAACATGGTGGGAAACTTTTTTTTTGAGGGGGGAAAATCATCCAATTATTTCTCCCGCCCGGGTGAGGCGAGAAGGAGTGTCAGACTCTTACTGACTAAAAACCACCCCGTTCCTACTCCTGCACTTCGAGCCGGAGCCCCGGTAACCCGTTAAGTCTTTCGCGGCTCCGAATAGTAGGAAACCTGGGCTTATAATTTCTAATTTTATTATAGGTTTCAAATCACCAATCCACAAGTATGGTGATTTATGCTCAAACCTTCTCTGTGCGAGATGAAGCCTTTGGTCAACAGTGGCCAATTATGTGCTGTTAATGCTAATTCACCTTTTGCTTCTAACTCTACCTATTTTCTTTCGTCAAATACGAAAACAGGATTTGATGTGCAAGAAAATAGAGATTTATATTTCTACTTTAATTAAAATATTTTTCCACCTTTTTTTCTTTTATTTCTTAACAACAAACACCTTTTTTTCAAAACATTTACTCTTTGTTTTTCTAACTTAAAATTGTACTGACAGTATCGAATAAAAAGCCGAGAGTGGGGTTCATCACATCTCGACCCTTGTTAGAGGCACGTGCCAAGCCAATTCAGTTATCCATCCTAAACACTTGCCTGACCTTAAGTTAAGCTCCTCGCTTTACCCCAGGGTATCCTTACCGGTTGCTTGTTCACTCTCAATAGAAATTTCTAATAGGATAAGCATAATATTAATATCAATGACAGTTTTAAAGTGGGAAGGTATTAAAACTTGGTTTAGTTTTGGCTCAGAAAAATAGAACAAAATTAAGTTTCATCTTCATTCGTTTGCCTCAAATGCGTTGTTGACGTGAAAAATAAACCTTTTTCTTTTATTATTTAGTTGTAGGATATTTTTTTACATTTGTTTTCACTTTTAAATCTTTAAAGGGCAGAAGTGTACGTATTCTTCATCATGTCCAGTTTTCACAAACTATAATGTGTTATAGTTTGTGACTGTCAGTACCTCGTTTGCCGAGTGGTCGCAAATGCGACTGCTGGGCAAGAGGTCTTGAGTTCGATTCCCGGGTCGGGCAAAATATTACTGGGTTTTAAAAAAATCTCAGTAGTAGCACGGAGTCTGAAATTGTGCCCGGTATATGGCAATAGCCTCACCCCCTATTACATGGGACCCATAACATAAATAGTGAAAAGTGGGTGTTACATTGTACAGCGGCATTAAGTGCCGTTATGTGCACCACTGCCTATCCCTTTTGGGAAAAAAGGTGTGATGTTATGTTATGTTATGTAATGTGTTATGAATCCCGTTTCTGTGTCCCATAGGCAGTTCACCTATTGCATTCAAAGAAATTTCCAAATTCCATGCTTTTATTATACTAATCGCTTGCCACCAGGCTAAATGGTAACCAAACATCAACATATCAAATGTATAAAAAAGTATTTTATTTAAAGCCTCTTATTATTTTTTTTTATTTCTAGAGTATGCACGTCTCAACGGTAATATTTTCTTGTCCCTGGATTGAGCTACCAACGACTGTAAAGAAGAATCTGGTTATCTTCATAGCAAAGACTCAGAGACCGCTTGTCATAACTGCGGCGAAGCTCGTCCCTGTGTCCCTGGAGACCTTCACCAAGGTAAATACGTTAATTTGTATTTATTGATCTGTTTGTGTGGATAGTAAGACATATTATATATACTCGTTTTTTATAGAAGAGGTAAGTAAAGATATGTTACTTACATCTTCTTACCGTTTCAATCGAGTGTTAAAGGTTTTATTGTGAAAGAAGATGAGATGTTTTTCTAATGGATTATTCTTCTTTTATTTTATCATAAAGCTTGTTGCAAATTCACCTAACCTTTGATCAAGTAAATAGATTAACCAATAATAAGAACTTTATCACAGAATTTCTACCAAAAAGTAGGTCTATAATTATACAACTAACGATTGTATACAAAAAAGAAAATTGTAAGGATTATTATCGTTAAGGATTACATCGTTCGTCACGGTCAGTCATTACGTTCGAAAAAAATATTGTCCTTGATCAGTCGACTACACTTTCACAATATGGACAACGCCGGCGTGAGACACGTGTATCCGGGAGAATTGGGTCAGAATTTAATCCGGAAATAAATATATTGTGAATATTTAAATGCAAAATATTTAAATAGGACCTAATGCAGTTGTTTATCTATCAATTCTCTGTAGAAAAGAGAAACGAATGGAATTTCTTGCTCGTTCTTCTCCATTCGAATCTACATTTTGGAATGAGCACCTAGCTTTACCTAGCTTCACTGACGGACTGACTGACAGACTATTATTTATTTTGTATTTGTTAACGTTTCAAAAGTACCAAATTATGGTTTAATTGAAATAAATGCTTTGACTTTGACATTGACTTTAAAAAAAATGAGAATAATGCGTTGTAAACAGTAGCTCCATGGATAAAAATTAATCTACACGAATAGTAACTATTTAGAATAGATATATTCAAAATATAAATAAGACCTCAACCAAACGAATAATATTATGGCTGATTACTTAGCTATTTTGTTTGTTTATTTAAATTCATTCGCCAATAGTGATGAAACGACGAGCAGACGCGACTTTTTGCCCAAAAAATAGTTTATTGTTAAATATATTGTGAATTTTATTGAAGAAAATACTCAGCCTCACTGGGCTGCCAAACTACATAATCCTTTAAAAACAAGTATCAAATTTTTTACTTGAACAAACAAATTTCGTAAACAAAAATAATACTACAAAATGAAATAACATTTTCTTTGTATGTCAATATATTTTTTTTCTTAATCCAATAAATGCCAAAAGAGAGGTGGGCAGTAGGAAAAGGACCGGGGCGCTTTGAAACAGTGAAAACGTCAGAAAGGTAGGCTGTCGAGTGCAGGGAACTATATGTATTTTCACTGTTACAGGAAAAACTGTACAATTTTCCTTTGCTGAAAAATATGAATTATTTAGTTAATAACTGGGTCAAACTGTCAGACAAGGGGTCACGGGTTCGATTCCCGGGTCGGTAAAGTACTACTGGGTTATTTAAAATAATTCTCAGTAGAAACACATAGTCTAGAATTGGGCCCGGTATACGGCAATAGGTTCTCTCCCTATTACATGGGACTCATAACATAAATAGTGAAAAGTAAGTGTTACATTGCAGTGGCATTAAGTGTCGTAATGAGCATCTTTGCATACCTCTTCGGGGATAAAAGGTGTGATCTTATTTTATGTAAAAAAAACTTTGAACAAATGGAAGACTCATTTTCGATAAATAAATTCAGAGTGTAAACTGTGACAGTCTCCTTGAAGTCTATGAGCCATCTCTATGAAAGAGGGTTAATCATAATATCCACGTTTGGCAGAACTGTTAAAAATGGAGATTAATCAGTCAAAAGTAGCTATGGTTGGTCTCTCTTACGATATCCTCTCCAAGATTAGCAGACAAAATATTCTCCTCTGCTGTATCAACATTTGTATTTTAAATGCTGTAACATGTGTATTCTAGTTATATTACAATTTACAATGATAGAACCAACATTTATAACTTGGACTGTACATAATAGTACAGATAGCACTCAGGAGCGACCAACTAACAAGTTTTATCATATTTAATATGAGTATTTAGTTTACGAAGTTATTATTACTTTATAGTAGTTGAATTTGAGTTCAAAGTTTGTTTAACTCACGTGAAAACATACCTCGAAATATTTACAAATGGTAGTTATGCATATATAATATGTTTATGTATATATATTGTGTAGGTATTGCTATGTAATAAATCAGATTGTGAACTGAAAAATATACCATGGTACGAGCTAATTGTTTTCATCGTGGGAGAGCCATGCTTTGGCACGAATGCGCCGGCTCGACCGGAGTGATACCAGGGCCTCACAGAAAACCGACGTAAAACAACGCTTGCGTTGTGTTTCGTCGTGTGAGTGAGGTCCCGGGGGCCCAATTACCCCCTATTACTCCCTGGTCTCTCGAATCCCCGAATCCTCCACAATCCTCAAATTCCCAATTACCAAAAGGCCGGTAACGCACTTGTAACGCCTCGGTGTTTTGGGTGTCCATGGGCGGCGCCGATTGCTTACCATCAGGTGATCCGACTGCTCGTTTACCGGCTTATGCTATAAAAAAAATCTGCCTTTGCCTTTAGCTATCTACTATCTAAAGGATTAAAATAATTTGTACTATGCACCAACCCTATAATCTTTTGTATTGTCTTTATAATGTAAGTTTAAAGTTCGTTCACATAGTTTCAGGCTCTGATTCATTAAAATAACATCACCATTTAATGTCTACAAAAATATAACAATAGTTTTGACCTACATAAAGTGCTTACTTTGTGTCTAGATCTTGATCTGGTTCTAAAAATATCCCACTCAATCAAATATGAATAAAAGCTATCCAAAAATAGATATTTCAAATTCTGAGTACCTATCTTACCAAGTATTATATGAAGTACCAAACGCCCTAAGTTAAGAATTCATAGTACAGCTTCGTAGACAATCATTATTCATAGTCGTTTATCATATTTTTTGTCCTCAAATATTTGGGATCACTTCCAAGATATTCCCTATTGTCATTGTACAATTCAAGAGATAAGTCCCGGGTGTATTAATTTTATTGTATGAAAATATTTATTCACTTTCCACAGAATTTCCATTAATAAATATTTGTGCTAGGGAATAGTAAACGTTGAACGAGGAAACAATAAGTACTATTTTTCTTCGAAAAAGGACTGGAAATAGCTACATTGAAACAATATTACATTATATGGGTGCAGTGGGCAAATTAAATTAAAATTGTTAATAACAAAATAGATAAATAAACGACAAAAACATAAATTCTCTTGTTGCGTGAAAATCCGACGAAACGATATTTCGTATTTTCACCGATTTGCAGCAGAATCCCATAACTGATTCGAAGAAACTTTTGTACCTACACACGTAGACATAGCTAACTGCTACCATTTTCACCAAAATCTCAAATTCTACTATGTGCAATAATTATTATACTTGCGAAAGTTTGTGACTGTGTTTGCGTAACGTTTGTTATTTAATCACGTCAAAACAGCTGCCAGAATCGGGATTAAATTTGAAACACGGATAGATTATAGTCTAGAATAACACATAGATTTACTACATACTTTTTATTCCACGAGAACACGGGCGAAGACGCTGGCAGAAGCTAGTAAATAAATATTCGATGGATTGAGGAAAAAGCCGTGAGCAAAACTGAAAACACAAATAACAACAATTAGGTCACATGTATGTACACACGGCTACACATCAAGCTTTACATAACCAGTATAAACTGAACGTTAAATGTGCGGAAAGATGATGCGACGCGATACCAGGATAAACTGGTTTTGTATAGATTGATGTGTGGCCGTGTGTACCTTACCAACCTCTCTTTTCTAAGAAAAACACAAAGTCTAGCTGGCGACTGTTTTTCTTTCAGAAAACAATATTAATTTATTAGCAAAGTTCATTAGTTAGTTCCAAGAGCATGTCCACAAAATAAATTGGCCTCACCGACCAAGTTTTTTCAAAGAACCCTGTACTTCATTTAGTATTGCATTTCTGGTAATAACGAAATATTTTCATTACAAATTCATGATTCTTAGTACTATTTGTAGTAGCAGTATGACCTGAATACCTGAACGTTTTGGAAAGTTATTTTTAATGGTTGTTCTTTTCTAGGAATTTAAATCAGGGACTGTGTCACAATTGGATTTAGGCCCGTATCAGATTGAATCAAGAACATAATTTGTGTTAACTATCTGATATACTGAAACAGAAGGTTGCCGGGAACTTATAATATGTAGGTGATAGAACTAGGTGCTCAGCATGCCTTTGCAATGGTAATTGTTAAGCTTAAAGTTATAGTTTTAATTCTCAGATCGAATATAGTATCTTACTGCTGCAGTAAGAGGCTTGCCCTTATTAAATGTCTTTGACAAATAACAGGTCGTATTATCTTACTCCGAAAATCTCATCCAGTTAGGCAGAATTAGCGTAACCGCGACGTCTCGACTTATGTGGCAATGAATATTTATTTATTTCGCACTTACTTTTAACAGCACCCATCTATTTACGGCCGGCCGAGGATTACCAAACTTTGTTGTTAAAACCACCATAATAAATCAAAATAACATTATTTCATTTCATAATTCGATCCATTATCAAATTTACAAAAAAATTTGATATTAAACTTATTACTTTGTTAAATATTCAAAAGTTTACAGCGATAGCAATCAGAGAACGTATAGTACAAGTTATATAAGTATTTAAAATTTTCTTTAAAAGCACTAACTTGTACTTACATTGCTAGTACCTAAATAACATTTAAAATTCTTAAATTAAACTTTATCTCAAAGTTAGGAGCCCATATTTATGAGGCCCATTAATTCTATTAGTCCAATTTTTTAATGAATTCATTCATCTCTGATTCTATTAAAATTTGAATAAAAAGTTACATTCATTTTTGCACTTAAATGAACATTACTTTTAATTAAGAAAATTAATTTGTTTTGCATAGGAATGTTTCTTAAACAACTGTATATAGAAATGGAAAAACTTAGATAATATCAGCGGGTTCTTGTTAAGCAAGAAATTGAAGTACATAACTACAAATAACTATTGTTAGTACCTGTCGAGCAATTCTTCATATCACGACTATACGCAGAACAATCTACTGCTACGTCATATATATAGTACCTACTGGTATCAATAACGCTACACGATGCGAGTTTCATTCAACCTCCGCGTCCAATACCTTCTATTGCTCCGAGAATCAGTATTCCGTAATCTATACAGCAGCATAAAGGTGCGGACACACTTATTGTACGACGCATGTTTTATCCACATTATCTGACATTGATTTTCAATTTTGCTAGATACATGTAAAATCCTACACTCGCACACGCGCCTTTTTTTTTAATAAGCTAGCCGCCTATTAGAGATTTCCACCATCATTAAAAAAGGTAAATGTAACAATACATACAGTACAAATCAGAGAAACAATGTAATATAACATATATTATATTATACAGTATGTATTTTTTAAGGGGGAAAATCATCGAATGACTTCTCCCGCCTGGGTGAGGCGGGAGGGAGTGTCAGACCCTTACTGACTAAAAACCATCCCGTTCCTTCTCCTATACGTCGAGCCGGAGCCCCGGTAACCCAGGTTCTCCGGGACTCCGAATCGGCATATAACATTTTCGATTGTCATGCTGCAGCTCTATTTGATATTGACACTAGAGGATGTTGTAACTATAGAATTTTGTGTTAACATGCAACTTTAGCTATACTTGTTTTATAACATCGTTTTATAACCTGATACGGTATATAATCTGTATGAGCCATAATATTCCCCAGGGAGATCGGTTGGTACCAATTTTTCTCTTGATTATGCGTCGGTAACACGGCGTCTGATCACGGCAATATACCGGCGATGAGCCAAAGGCGTTGAAGTTTGTAATCGCAATTTGTAAAAGCTTTTTCTAACTTGACAAATTTTTTGCTGCGAAAAAATTGTTGTTCGTTTTATTTACATTGGTGCAAAGTTCACAATGACGTGATTTTGTTATGATCACAAAATTGGGTTTTAAAGTAACTCCCATTACTTTTAAGCATTTGGTATTCCTAATTCTGTATTCTATTTTGAGAACTTATTTATTAGGATCTATTAACGATAAACCCTAGACTTCGCACTCAGTAGTTCTCTCACCGTTGTCACTACTATTCAGCACACAACAACAAGTTAATCTTGATACCTAATAGCTCATTTTGCCAATTTTCTATTAACACATGTGAACGTAATCCATCCCCAACCATATTACCCAATGAATAAGAAATCGTTTAAACATGGGCCTAAATACACATTTCACCGCTACATAAGTCTCGCATTTGCAAAACTATCGAATTCACGTCGCACGGCCATTTTTATTACGTAAACTTATCACGTGCGTGTGTACCAACACATTAATAGATACAAACTACTAAATTATTCATCAGGAGTCGCCGTGGCCTTCAGAAAACCTCGGGCTACCCACTGTCCCTGTGGAATGACCCCGGCTTTCTGTAGTTTAATCTTTGCCAATTAAGCCTGGACACAGGATGTTGTCATAGAATACGCGATCATTTTACTGCTTGCAATTTTTATATTCTTTCTCTCTAGTACCGGATTAATTAAATGTAAAATACGACTGCAGAAAGAAAAATAATTCTACAATTTTATAAGTTTTTATTTCAGGAAGCATTTTCTTGTTTCGTATCTAAATGCGTGAAGTTTTATACGAGTAGATACTTAAACTAATTTGATTTGTGGTAAAAATATCGTTTAACCCAGAATTCTGTTTTATTTAATGAACCTACTCCCATACCTAATAGTTATATTGCACTAATTATTAAAAGTAAACATAACATAACTTCACGCCTTTTATCCCCGAATGAGTGGGCAGAGGTGTACATTACGGCAATTAATGTCACTGTACAATGTAACACCTATTTTTCATTGTTTATGTTTCGAGGCCCATCTAATAGTGGGTGAGCCTATTGCCATATACCGGCACAATTCCAGATTCCCTGCTACTACAGAGAATTATTTTAAATAATACAGAAATACTTTCCCCAACCTGGGAATCGTACTCGAGACCCCTTGACCGGCAGTCGCACTCTCGACTACACGGCCAACGAGGCAGTCTCGGTGAAAATAAAATCAAGACAATTTAATGTCTATAATAAATTTAATAATTTCCGGCAGTTATTATGTAAAGATTCTGAATTACATTTTCGTTTTCAGGTTATGAATTGGACTTACAAGGCTTTTGCAGTCATGAATCAAATGAAGAATTAATTGGGAAGGCCTACGTGATCGGAAAGTTAAGAAACAACGTTCCAATAATATTATTAGTTTTCAGCATTTCACTATAGAGATCACATTAATAGATTAAAAAAAAATTGTACGCGTTAAAGACATGTGACATAAAGACATGACAAGAAAGTACCATATAAATGAAAATGAAATTATATTACATCAAAAAATGTTCACTTATAATAATCCAGCGAATAAAATAAAAACTTACCATAAGAGTATAACGAATAATAATACATAGAAACATGTGTATAACAATGCACACAACACAAATAACAGTTCTCATTACAATAAATTTTGTAAGCTTATAGACCTGTTTATAAACAAGTTGACACATTATATAAATGCAGTTTTAAAGCATCCTTTATAACGAAGCACCTAGACTAGACGTATAATATAAGTATTTTAGCATAAAGTTAGTTAATGTGCACCTGTCTGCAAGAGCAGACTTTAGTTAATGTGTGTTTAACTTCTATGGATAGTAATAGAAGACAACGGTAGAATATTTATGTGACCATGAAATGATAAAATAAACAATTGTTCAGCTTGTGTTGTTTTATTTTCAACTTCTGTTTTAGTACTGACTTCCCACTATCCGTAGTTATCACCGAAATGTTGATATACACCACGGGGTTTCCATGTTTTTCTACTGATATCTATATCCTTACTAATATTATAAATCGGAAAGTGAGTTTGTTTGTTTGTTCCACTTTCACGCCGTAACTACTAAACCGATTGCTTTAAATTTTTACAGACGTAAAGTTAGAAGTCCGGATTAAATAATAGGGTACTTTATATCCCTGAAATGTGATATTCCCGAGGGAAAACAAAAGTATTGGTATAGATGGCGCTGTGTGTATTGGTATATGTCACATAGGCTACATATCCTTTTGTGACGCGAGCCGAAGCCGCGGGTAAAAGCTAGTTTTATATATATAAAAAAGAGAGTCATGTTAGTTACACTATTTATAACTCAAGAACGGCTAAATCGATTTTTGTGAATATCGGTGGGGAAGTAGATGAGAACCAGGAGACCAACATAGGATACTTTTTATCAAATACTTTTTTTTGCGTCTTACGAAAAATCGCGAACAAGAACGGTAAAAAACGAAATTGCGCGTACGAAGTAACGGGCTAGTTTTATTATAAAATACGTGTATAAAAAAAAATTATGTCATGAAATAAGGTTTATCCAAAACCAGCATTTGATTGAAAAACAAAACTAATAATTTATACAAAACTAAAAATGTAATCGTTAGAATCCTAGCACATCTATTTTATTCAAAACAATAAAATAGATATCATATCATTTATATCTACTTCTTGACAAATCCAAAGACTTCATTTGTACTAAAACTACTCGTATACCAAAAACAAAAATATTGTCTTAGTCAGAGCGTAAAGATTAGCGAGTCAGCAAGTTAGCGTCTGACTACCCAAGTACCCAGTACCCAGCTCCCGAGGTGTGCCGTTAAATGCCGATTAACTTAAGAAACGTTTAGTGCCGTCACTTGGCGAAGCTCTTTTATTGCACCCAACCAGTTATTTTTATTTAAAAGCCTCATTCTCATAGAATAATGGCGACCCAAAAGGGTAAGTGATTTTCAAATGTATTTTTCACTAGGTATACTGATGCTAACCATTCAACGGTTTATTGATTTTGCTTCTATTTAGTGTGTATACCATACCTGATTTTAACCATTTATTTTAATTTTACATGTATTGGATACAATTTAAACAATTACGGCTTTACAAACCTATTCACACATGGCGCAATCCCAGATTCCAGGAATAGCAGTCTAATTTTAAACTTAAATCCAATTTAATTTTACCTAGGGACTCACAATTCAGAAAACAATAGTAAAATTAATAAAATAGACAAATACACATTAAAACAAATTACAAAATATGCTGTGAGTAAAATTTTAAACGTATAACACATGGTATTCTACCAAAATACGATAACACACTAACTACAATATTAAATATTGATTGAACAAAACAGAACATCAGAAATTCCTTCAGCTGGAAGTTTTCGTGGAAATCAGCCGAAATACGTGGTAGTACGGCACCGGTACTAAAGAATGCACACGTACACATCAGCGCTCACACGACACGCAATATCCTACATATCCCCACAATTCGGTGGCAAATCTAACACCAAATGAGTTAACAGAGCAGCATTTGCAATAATTGACGATGGTGTCGAATTATGAGGAATAAGCGATTCATCCATTAGTGACAAATGTTTACTGCAATCAGATGCGCTGCAGCTGGACGTACGCAATTAATCAACAGCTATACATGTAGCTACATACGTACTTACATGTGTATGTACAATTGTACATCGCTGCAGCTACAATGGATACGGTTGAGCAAACAATAGACGCAGCGAGTTTCCATACATTTAAACTGATATAGATATTTAGTAAAAAAGTTAAAATCAAATACAATGGAAACTATTTAACAAAATCAAACGCGTTATCTGTGTATTTTTATGGGAAATATTTATCTATAATGGAACCCTAAAATCACTTCTGTTTACTTTAACAAGAACATAAAACTAAATTAACCTTTTCCAGCTTTAAAATTTAATAAAACAAAGGAAATCTTAATCGTAGCACTACGCGTAATAGTTGACCATTTGCGTGGAAAAATAGAACTGCCACATAGGTCTAGTGGTGGTTTCACTCGGGGCGCCAGACGGGTTCGCGGTCAAGGTGACCGCTACCGGAGCCCGTCTTTTGGAGGTCCCCGGCGCGACCAGCGGCCCATCGGCCGACGCCCTGGCCGAGAGGCTTAGGGCGTGCCTCGGTGCGGACGAGGCTATTTTATCCCCGAAGGGGTAGGCAGAGGTGCACATTACGGCACTTAATGCCACTGTACAAT